TGCTCCCGCGGTGGACCACTTGGTGGGGGCCTAGTTGTATTTTTGTTACTCCCGCGGTGCACAGTGCTGTGTCTCCATATAAAAAGTGGGCAAAAATAGAATAATGGACGGATTTGAGTAAAAATTCGTTTCTTGGTGGATTAGAGTACGGAGATTTCAAAAATCATTTTTTTTTTACCTAGCTCTTACATTTTTCATGGAAACTGAGATTGAAACTGCAAAATTTGATATTCAGAAGTAGTTCCAATACTGAGTAGTTATTTTATTATTTATACAGGGCGTTTTCCTAATAATATTAAAGACTTCAAGGCTTCATTCTATGGCTTAATTCATGGCAAATAAGATTCCCTATATCTCTCTTACGCAAACCCTCTAGGAATGGCAGCTACTTTCATTTTGGTCCTTTTTGACTACAAAATGCTTTTTTAAATTGATTATATCTTTTGGTGTGGATGTCACACGCTTAAAAAATTTGATTCATTCAAGACGACATTAAATACTCAAAAGACAAATATAATTTTGTTTTCCTTTTTATTAGTTACTTCGCACGAACAAGAGTTGTTGCAAAATACTGAATCAAAAATTATTTGTTTTATCTAACGCCGTTTATTGTTGGATGACAAATCAATTAACCTGGAAAAAATATTTATTTTTTAATAACTTATATGGCTTGTCGAAAAGATATAAGACCGTCATATCGCAAAATAGCTAATCGAGTAAATTAATTAATTCAGGCCAGCCTTTTGCAAAATAATACTGTAGAAAGTTGTCAATGTAAATTAAAATGCCATTTACTGATCTAAACTCGAATTTATTTTTAAAGGCTATTGAATGTTTTTGGAAGACATATTAGATAATTTTTTGTTACCTCAGAGGGACTAGCGCAATGATGAACATAAACTCATCCGTTAATTTGTCGTCACCAAAATTTTGCTTATGGCGGCTATGCCCCGAACTTCCATCCATGCCCCACTTACAAACCAAAGAAGCTTTGGTTATGTCACCATTATCTGGGCTTAGTTCTAAAATACTTTGCATTGTTTTCAGCAATAATGATTTCAGATCAACTTCGGCTGAATATTCAGTCGATTTAATCGTTGGCAGCAAAGTTTGTTTTTTGTTTGCAATGCGTTTAAGGTCGGTATACAATCTTTATGCAACCGGTTTATTTTTGCACGTAAACCATTATATTTACGATCTGATAAGTTCAGATCTATGTATAGTGCGAGTGAATCAGATATGGGCAAACCTTCGGTACTACTTTCAAAACATTCAACTTTGCTTGCTTTTTTCATTTTTTTCAGAGCATACTCGAGCTCTTCGATGGAATAGTTTTTCAACAAATGCTCTACCCTTCGATTTTTTGTTCTCCGTGAAGCTTCGCAAAATTCTTCTTTAGAAGGTCTTCCCCGTTCAGCACATTTATCCTTATTTCCATTGGAATCCGGAAGGGAAAGGAATGTCCAATTTAGCAATTTAGAATATGTTTTTTCAAAAGCGCTTCTTTTGCGGCCACTATAATTCCACTTATTTTTCATCTCACTATTAAAAAGTTTTATTTTTTGATTCAAAAGTGCTTTGTCGCATTTAGCGTGTATTAATTTGTCTTCAAAAAATGCAGATAATGCAGACACTCTATCTGATGGACGAGTAGAAATCCAGATATCAGCTAAAATTGAGTTTTTTATAATTGAATTCATATTAATATTAGTTTTTTTACTATTTTACGCTTCACTACACAGCACAGAACACTACCGCGTGTGTCTACAGTAATAAACTTTACTATTTTTAAAGAATGTTTTGGCATTTAAGTAATGGAAAATACTGTGGTAACTGTAATCAGTGAAATTTTTTTTTTGGAAAAGTTTATTTTATAACCTTAAAAAAAACGATTTTCTTCGAAAAGCGCAATGAGTCTGCAGACTTTTCTTTTTTATTTCAAAGAAAAATGCCCCTTCTTTCAAATAAAAGAATAAAAAAAAACATACTTTTACATATTTTTTTTTATCCCTTTGTAAACTTAGGAATTTTTTAAATTTTCTGCAACACATTTTAGAGTGTAGCAAATAGGCCATTCCAGCCAGGAAACTCAATATTTTTTAAAAAGCTCTATAGAGTGGTTTCCTCACAGATTTTCTAATTAGAAAAATTGTGTCTTAAGATAAAGTATGATAAATTGTATTTTTAGCAATTTTTTTTTTAAAGACTCGAGCTAAAGGCATTTTCATAAAAGAAAAAATATATAAAAAACACACAACTTTAAGAGGTTTTTGTGAGAACCTTATGAGATAAAAACAAAAACTAAGTCCAGATCCTTAATCTAGGATAAATTTCCTTTCCAACGATACCAAACACGTTGACATACGTGACAACAATTTTTTTGATTTTTGCCCGCTCATACAGCACTGTGCGGTGGAGCGTTGGAGTGTCGCTATTGCTGCTCTTTTGCTGGAGCGCTCGCTGTGGTCTCACTGCGGTTGTTGCAATGGCGCTTATGGTCTTGCCTCGATCCTGCGAAAGAGACTGAGATGTCGATTTAGTATAAAATTATAAAATTGTATAATCATTTTTTTTGTTTGCGTTTATCGCTCAGTGCCCTGCTAATGAGGGACTTTCACCGCACTTGCACTGCCCTGCTAATCAGGACTTCCACTTGCAAGATGCACTTTTTGGCGATTTGTTGCAGTTTGCACAAATATATATATATATATATGTGTATATATATATATATATATATTTCGTTGGCCGTTGCAGTCGACTAGCGAGATTTTACCGCTTACTAGCTGAGTTCCGCTACTCAGCGAATATATGGTCCGGACCACGTTTGGACCACGCTTTTCAGTGCCTCCTTTACACACTAATTTGAGGTTAAGCTTATAGGGAACTTACATAAGGCGATTTCACAGGAACATTTTAGTTGAATGGTGCAGTTGCCTGGCCTTTCACAGAAAACGGGTCAGCTGCCTTCTTTCGTTCAATTTTTTTGATTCAACCACTCGCCTGTGAAAGTTGAATCATGCAAATTCCCTATTATTTTCACTCACCTGGTTATATTTTGCGAGTGCCCCTTTTTGCCGCTTCCGAAGTTCCAAAGGGGACACACCTCGCCCCAAGTTTGCCGGAACCAGTTCCTTTTGTGGATTTCTTTTAGTTTTTTCCTCCTCGGTGTCGGTTTGCTGGCACAAGTTGTTTTGGTTTTGTTTGCAAATGCCCGCTGCGTGAAATATCACATGCAGCTTCTTTCATGCGGGCTCATTCACAATAATGTGCGCTAATAAAACTTTACCAATGGGACTTGACGAGAGTAGTTATTTTTTTTTTTTAGTAAATTCAACTGAGAAAAACTTTTTTGAAAATTGTTAATGTAAATGTCGAAAAAAATGAGAAAATAAATATGATTATCTTAAAGATCCGGCTCGAAGGACCATGTTCGAGCGGGGTAATTTAGGGGCCGGAAATCCTCGTGATTCCGGCAACGGGGACCATTGGGGGAGCCGATTCTTTAAGATAATCTTTTAACTATATACCAACTAACGCCCTAGTCTCCAAAGATATAAGATATGTCAGGTTTTCGGGTATTATACACAATTTGATTTTATTGAACAAATATATGTACAAACATGAGTTGACTCACCTGAGATGTCGCTGGCTGTCGATCACAAAATAGAAGGAGATAGGGTCCACAGACGGTGGAATTTGACAACGGGATTGACTAACAGGACTCGTGCCAAAAGGGAGATAAAGTAACGAGTCCTGTTAGCGAGTGGTTGGCAGCGACATCTCTCGGTGAAGTTTGTATACTAAAACTTAAGCTGCAGGCTTAAACAAAAATCGATAACTTTAGTATTCTATCTTGAAGTGGCAACAATTGCTGAAATTTTAGAGGAAAGTGGTTCATTTCTTTTAATTTTTAACAAAGTTATGGACACTTGAAAAAAACATTCCCCAGATCTCTATTTTTATGTAAAAAGAAAAACAAATTGCTTATAAGTCGGGCAAAAGTTTTTTACGAGCAAACATATACAGGTCTCATTATTTTAACCAACAAAAAACATATCTCAGTTTCATCGAAATTAAAATTCATGCGCGTGCCTCACCGATTGTCTTTAAATGGAAAGCATCAGTAACAAGTTGAAGCAAAATTTTCTGATCTTCACGAAAGGTATGAAGCCTTCGACATAACCGAAGAGCGCATTGTCCTTACTTGTTTATACAATATCGTTCCTTACATTTCTCTTTAATTAATAAGTCTCTAGAATAAATTATAATTTTTATTATGCCGTATATCTCAATGAAGAGCTCTTACGAAAACTACTGGCAATAACTGAACGGCTAATTCACTTTAACTCAATTCACTTTCTGCGCAACTATTCTGCTTTCCGGCACTCCTTCGCGTCGCTCGCCTATATGCCCCAACTGCCACAATCGCGATTATGTAATACAAATGTGACTCCGGTTTACACACATCACTCGATGTCAGCCGGGCCACCTGTCCCTCTGCGTTGCCATCAGCGCAGCACAACTCTTCTAAATCGCTCACACGCTTGCTATTCAACTTAACAAAATTAAACCAAAGCACCGACGCGCAATCGCATTGCTAGGGGTTATGCGCCAGCGCCGCTAAAGAATTGTACAGATACAGCAGCGTTTCCTCGCTCAATTGCCGCAGCCGATTGTTACGCAGATTCAAGTTGGCCAACTAACGCGGCTGATTTTTACCAGCATGCACCAGCAACGCGCGTATACGGTTATGCGCCACTTTAACGCGCACCGAGCCCATATGATGTGGCAAGCAGTAAACGCTAAGCGAATTGTTGCTCAACTCCAAATACTCCAGCTTGGTGAGACCGTCGAAGATGTTGCAGGCTGCCGCGGCGTCAAGATTTTCGATTTCGAGATGTTGTAAATTGCCGATCTTAACAAAGGTGCCGAGCTCCAGTTGTTCCAAGCGATTATTTGACAGATATAGCACCGTGAGTTCGCGCAGGGAGCGGAAGACATCCGCTGGCAGGCGTTCAATTCGATTGTTGCTCAAATCCAATTCAGTTAGATTGTAGAGTTGCTCAAAACTATCAGCTGGTATGACGCTCAAACCATTGTAGCTCAAATCGAGCAACTCGAGGTAGTGCAGCGGTGCAAATAGGCGCGCTGGTGGCGTTTGCAAGCGATTATCACGCATTTGTATTTGTCTTAAGTGTGCGCTGCTTGGCTCTAGGAAGCCAGCGGGCAAAGGCGCATTCAACCATGCAAACTTGAGCGTTTCAATGCTTCGCATATCCGTAAATATATCCACATCCAGTTGACCGAAGCCACTTAGTACGAATTCGATGACACCATCCAGGCTGGTGAGGTGGCTGCGTTTGAGCGGTGTGTTGGTGACGCCGCGTTGTAGCTTCACCATTGTGCCCGTGCGTGATGCCTAGTCGCCGGAATATATTGTCGAAGGGTATACAGCCGTCGATTGTGATGTCTTGTATTCGGCCCAGCGAGAGTTCGGGTAGATTGCCGACAATTTGCAACATGTCCTCTGCTGTGCCTATGCATGAAATGGTGAAGCTTTGGTAGTCCTTTGAGACGTAAATCTTGAAGTGATCTTCATTGTTGAATACTATGGTGGTGTGCGTATCCAGTTCGGTACAGGTAATGTTGACGGTGGCATTTAGCTGCTTGCAAGTGTCGTTGGTGAATTCAGTGACGTTCGGATGCCCCAAAATTTCGAGTGTTTGTAAGAGCAGTAAAAGTAATTTTATACGCGTGAAAGTGAACATTTTTGTGTTTTTCGGTAATAACCAGGGCTCGGATTTTGTTGACCTAAAAACTAGCGAAAAGTTACCTTAAAAAAATTACATTATGACCTTAAAAATCATTAAAAATGACCAAAAAAAAGAAAAAATGCCCTAAAAAATTTAATATTTTATATACATTTAGAAAAATTTATTTTTTGAACCGCTTTTAATTTTCACTTTTATTGCACTTTATAGTTTTTTGTTACAATAAATAACTAGATACATTTTTAAGTTGTGAGCATCGAATGATCTTCTATTATCGGCTAATATATTTTTGTACATAGAAAAACTTCTTTCTACGTCAGCACTGGATAACGGAGAATACTTGTACAAGACAATGTCGTTTAAAGCCAAAGCATTAAAATGTGTTGTGTTAAAATTTTCACCATTCAAAACATTTGCAATTGACTTTAAACTTTTGTACCCAACATTTTTACCTAGCACTTGATTTAATTTACAATATACTTTGTTAGCGGCTACGCCATGCACAGTACTTAATTTGCTTTTAAGATCTTCAATCAAATTTACACCCACTTCTAAAGATAAATGTTTCGACTGAAGGGATTCTATCGTTTTTGAAATACAGGAAAAATTTGCTCTTATATAGGCTAGTTGACCCTTCAGTTCATCATTTGAAAAAAGTAGCTGCGCCTCTTCAATGGCCCTTGCATCAAGGCTATTAAACGAATTTATAACATTTTTCACTGCCTCAAAATGTTCGCAGTAGTATGCACATGCACTTAACCACGTACCCCAACGGGTGATTACAGGCTCTGGAGGGAACGGGACACCAGGTGCAATCATTTTAAATTGATCTTTTCGTGATGGTGCCTTGATAAAAACCTTTTTTGTTTTTGATATGAGCCCATCAACGACTGGAAATATTGATCGTACTTCCTCCGCGACCCTGTGTAAAGCGTGAGCTAGGCACGTTAGGTGTATCATTTTAGGATAAAAACTGTTAATAGATTTTCCTGCTTTGACCATGTAGGGAGCAGCATCTGTCACAAAGAGCAAGACGTCATCATGTCGAACACCTGCAAGCAAAAATCAAACCTATTATAAAAGTACATACATAATTCGTAAATACTCGTACCTTCTGGCCAAAGTAAAGTCATTGATTTATCAAAAAGCTGGCATATGGTGGTGTGGTTAACTTTTTCGATCATCTCACATGTAAGAAGGAATGTCTGGCATGGTTCTTCTCGCTCCATGGCGCCAACTATAACGTTGGCAATATAACGGCCTTCCACGTCGCTTGTTTCGTCGATTGATACAAAAATTTGTTTGCCGGCAGTGCAGTTTCTTATATTATTTATCGTTGCCTCATAGCACAGCGGTAAGTAGTTTTTTCGCAGAGTCGATTCGTCGGGTATCTTACGCCCTGTGTAAGTTTCCAAAAAACTTTTCAGTTTAATGTTGTTTATTTTACTAATCGGAATATCAGTTGAAACCAATACATCGCATAATTCCCTGAAAAAGTCGTTGTTCCTGCAACTGTTTGATGCAGCTTCAATCAAAAGTAACTGCTTGGATTTTCTTTTATCCAAAAGCTCCAAACCGCGCTTGTGCTTTTCGCGGCCTATGTGTTGCTGCACTGTATATCTCTTGTCCGCCAAAACTTTAACTTCACAAACTTTACAAAATAATATTGCGCCATCAGTCGAAAATATTTCGGAGCCAAATTCATTAATCAATTTATTTAAGTGACTGCTTTTCGATGGCTTTTGTTTTGGCATTTTATTCTCAGAACTTCAAATGTATTCTGAAAACGGTAAATTTATGTGGCAAAAGATAACGACACAACACACCAAAATAAAAATCTAAGTATGTGCCGGTTGTCAATTGGATAGAAAGAGATAACAAGTGAAGCTACAGAAAATTTATAAAGATGCCAGAATTTTGAATTAAGAAAAATTAATTCAGTGTCGCAAAGCGAACTTCGGGAAATTTCTGAATTTACTAAAATTTATTTAATGGCCTAAAAATGGTAAAAAGTATCCAAAAAAATGTGTCAAAACTATGAAAAATTGCCTAGTAATAAAAAATTGGGGAAAAAGGCAAAAAGTTGACCTAAAAACTTTTCGGTTTTGAAATCTAGACTAAATGAACGAAGATTATATATATATAGGAAGCGTCTCCGAAGCACAAAAAAAATGTTGACAAGTCAATAGAATCCTAGCCCTGGTAATAACATTCCAAATTGTAAGTGTGTGTTACTAGCTTAAAATTCGTTTTGTAACTAAAATCAGCATTCAGCATGAAGCATAATTTGTAAACATCAAGCGACTGTAGCCAAATATAAGAGATTGCAAAATATTCGGCTGCTTATCGCATAAATTCTTTTCATTTAATGGGGAAGCATGATTTTTTGTGTAACTCCGTTCACTTCTTAAAATGCCCTACTTGTTTTTGATATACTTTTTATAATATTTTTTATTCTCCTATTAACTATAAGTAGGTATTAAGAAATTTCGACTTGGCAACCAGGTAGGTAAAATGTAATGTAAATAGTAGAGTAGTAGAGTTGCCACCTTTCCTAAAATAACATTTCTTAAATATATAAGTCAAAAATAAAAATCGTACAATATTTTCTGAAGATAAATTTTGAGAAAATCTTAATAGAAGTAAACATTTTAATAGATTTGCCACCTACGTAATCAATAAAATTAATCATAAAAATGTTAAAATAGTAATGAAGAATTATACCACTTTGTTATCAATAGTTTCCGAAAGCCATGAAAAGTCCCGAAAAGCTCAAAAAATATCATAAATCCTGCAAGTTCCAAAAAGTCCAAAAAAATTTAAAAGAGTGTCAAAAGATTCCGAGGGCCACAAAATGGCTCGAAAATTTTAGATCTTGAAAATCTCAAAAGGTCCCGTTAATTCTAGAAAAGTGCTAGTAGTAACGAAAATACACGAAAAGTCGCGAACAATTCCGAAAAGTGTCAATGGATCCCGAAATCACAAAAAGCCCTGAAAATTTAGAAAACTGTCTCGAAAAATCCAGAAAGTCTCGAAAGTTTCAGAAAAAGTTTCAATAAATCCCGAAATTTCCAGTTAATCGCGAAAAGTAGAGAAAAATTAAAGCGCATTTTTTAACTGCATTGGATCCTAACGGAAAAGATTTTCATTTATTCGGAACGTTGCAAACGGAACTTCTATACTTTGTATTTCAGCATCCGAATTTTTAGTTTTCAGCCAATAACGTAATGACATGTTTATTTTTATAAGCTCAAAAGACATAGTTCGGTAGCATGTTTTAAGATCTTTCTACTGATATCCATACGAATGGTATGGGCCGAATGGTGCAGTTGAAAAAATTGCCTTTTTACTTTCGGGCTGCAGCCACGTCCACAACGACATTCGAATCGAAACATTCCGGAGCAAAAACTTTTTAATTTTCTTGTGGACTTTAATTCCTTAATGTCTGAAAAATAAACATACTTTCAGTCAGACAAACATATTGTACATATCGAGTCCTAATCGCTAAAATGTTGTAAGCGACATTTTTTTCTAAATTTTGCTTTAATGCAGAAATGTTTCTGGAGAATCAAGATGCATTTCTGCATCAAAAAAAAAGGAATTAAAAAAAAATGTCGCTTACTCTTTTTACCGGTTCTAAATATACCAGTTCTAAATATTTTGAACTATGTAGTAGCCGAAGTAGAATGCATAAGGACCTTGGGTAAGGTATTGACCTACAGAATAACGATAAATATGTATGCTCCTTTAAGTCGAAAAAAACTTTAATTTTTTCGCAACCAGTTAAGCAAATTTTTATGAATTCAGAGGAGCGTTTCTGAAATTTGAAATCTGGACATACTCTGCAAAACATTTTCAATGATACATCAAACATGTCGATTAGACGTCCCGATAAAAAAATATGTATGAGCAAGTAATACCATCCCAAAACTAAACCATTCCTAGCTACTCACAGAATAACGCAAATTATTGTTTTCCGTTAAGGAATGAGTAATATTTAAATACTTACTTATCGGAAACTATGTATGTAGTTCTTATGATACTACTACTGATAAGCGTTACTCGAAAATATGTGCGAGTATATGTATGTATGTTGATATTTTTTTGCTCAAATTTGCCTTCATATTGTATTCTTGTATATTTCAATTCTAACGGCGTTTTTGGAGGCTGGCTTGATGCGATGATAAGGTTTGTTGTGCATACATATGTACATACATGCATAAATTTGTTTTATGCCACATGCATACTATAGATACATGTTTTTTTTCAACATAATTGCCTACATATGCATACCGCATCTAATTACGTTAGTTAATAATTACATTTTATTTTCTTGAAGAAGAAAGTAAGTGTATTGCAAATTCAAATTCTACGATTAATTCTAAGCAAAAATAGTGAACAAACTATACACCAACAAGTAAGAGCAGCGCTGTCTTCGGCTATGCCGAAGGCTTCATACCTTTCATGAACATCTGAAAATTTTACTTTGACAGATTACTGCATTTGAAAAAATTTATATATTTACAGAATACATAGATAGAGGAGATACATATATTTATGAAAAACCATATCTAAACAATCAGAGGTATGGAAGATATACCTTATATTAGCACCAATCTAAGTGATTTTC